ACTTACTAATAGTTGTAATGATAGTCTGAGTGTTTGATAGACCCGATTAATTTTTGAGGGGGGGTGTTAGATTTTTCGTTGAAAAATACTTAACAAAAATTAATCTTTGGTTGGTTTGAATACGTCTTTGTACGTTTTATATTTCTTTCATCTCTTGTGTTTCCACTTCACATCGAAGAACATTTTTAAGTGTGAAAATTCCGAGAAATTTGAGGCATGATGTTTATGCTCTGTTTTTCTAGCTCAAGCACAATGCATGAGTGGGACCTTTTGAATGTGAGTCATCAGGCCCAGGGTGTTGGATCCCTTTTGTCAATATAGTTAGTTCCTCTGAGGAAATGGTACTGAGCGGATGTATCTTCCGAGCGTATAAAATAAAGGAAAATTCTGTTCATTTATTTACCAGTATAGTTATTTAAAATTACCCCATTTCCAATAATTGTCGATCGGCCGTCTTTGGTTTCATTCCTTCATCTCAATTAGGGAGGGGAGAAATTAATTTTTGAATGAGAAGAACTTGTCCGGAGTTACTGCACGCTTTGAAAATTCATTCCTCCTCTCCTAATAGAGATTAAACAATGAAACCGTTGTAATTTATTGAGAATATAATTCTCCATTGATAGATATTGCTTTCATTCTTTCATCGTAATTAGGGGGGGAGAAATGAATTTCCCTATCGGAGGAGCTCCTCCGGTTAGTCCGCACTTTTGAAAATTCATTCCTCCGCTCCTACTTGAGTAGGATAGAATAGAATTTCTCGAAGATTCCAAAAAGCTTAATTGTTCTTCGTGCATGAAAAATGGGGATCTTCGGGAAACTCCTTGAGATCGCAAGACTTTTACCGATTTATTTTTTTCCGTGTGACGTCCGTATAGAATATCAAAAAATCAATTTAACTTTGGGATAAATGGAGAGGAGAGAAAAACGTGAATATCTCGGAAATTAGATGCGACAAAGTGGGCCCTTTTCACGTGGACGTACACATATAATTGGACTGAAATTTATAGAAATTTTTAATTTGCAATGACGAAATTCCTTGAAATTTCCGTATTACGGCAACGCTATAAAAATTCCCAATAAGTTCCCGGAATTTCTGCGAAAATATTACTGAAACTTACAGACATCATTCCTGATTTCAAGACATTCCTTTGATTTTCAGGATCATGTCACTAGAAATTTTTTACAAAATGACTTAATTTTAACATTGCTTGCTCATTGCATTTCAGAAATGCAGCTGCCTAAAAAAGACACATCGATTCCTAGGAACAACGTTTTTTTTTCTCGGTAAATACAGACAATAGAGAAATGTCAGAGTACAGTGAATAAACTTCACTCGTCAAAAACTCCATAATGGCAGAGTTAAATTCCCTGATTTTTTTTCACTCTCGATTAATTTTTTAAAGATTCAAATTGATACTTAAGTATCAATTGATTCATTCACATCGTTCCATTCCATCGGGAGATATTGTCGATTGGAGACAATTTTTTATGGTCACTGAAGAATGCAAACCATTCATTTAAATCTCGCAATAATCTGCGAAAAGTCTCATTCGTTAATCTATTATTATTGATTTAATCCCATTATGTGTATGAGATTTGTTGAGATATAATCTCTCACAAATATTGAATATATTTCTCATCAAAATAATTTGAAATTCATTCATTACCTTTGTATCACTGACAAAATATGTAATAAATGTGAATAAGATGAATTGCTCGTATTTTTTTTTTTTTTAAAGATCTAGTTGTATAGAAATTCAAATAAATGATCCTCTTTCGCTCAAGACTTCATAATTCCTTCTCTCCCTCTCCTTTATGATCAACTAATTTACAAATTAAGACAATAAGAAGTTGTATGAACGAAAATGGGATAATCAAGCGGATGAGTGAATGCAAAGGAGGTTTCATGTTGGATTTAAGATTGGGAACGCATCCCTGTTATCGACTGTTTCCATGGTAATAGATGACAATTTCTTTACTCACAGAGACGGCCTCTCGATTAGTTCATGCGCGCCACCGCTATGAAACTCTGATCGAACAGTTCCCATAAGCCTGAGCAATCTCCCCTATTATCTCTGTTATTGATATCGTATTTCCTGTTGATAATTGCTTGGAAATCATGTAAAATTCCTGTTTTGTAGAGAAAATATAGACCTAGAATGCAATTCTCTTTAATATCAGCAAAAACTGCGTCGGGAATGATTGAATAATTTCCCACAGAAATCATGACTTCTTTAATTGCTTTATGTCGAAATCGTTCACCCGAGACAGTCATGCGAGGATTATGTGTTATTGTGAAAAAGTCTGGGATTAATTAGGGTAATATCAGTAGCTGTGTCAATGGTCATGGAACAAGAATGGTTATTAATTTTCCCTTTCAATTCTAAATTGAAAATTGGTTCTTGAATTCCATTGGTAATGTGAAAACATCGTGAAAAATTAGAATTTGGTTGAGTCAACTCGTCCCCCAACGAATTGACTCCATTTAGTTTCCCGAATTCGTGTTAGTGTTGGCAGATCTGTTACTGTTTGAATGTTTGTTATTATTCAAGTAGTGAGAATTTAGAAATCTAGGATTGAAATTCTTATTGCCATTGTTGAAATTGCAATACGGCTGATAATGATTGCGATTTTGGTTGAATTGTTGTGAGAAGTCCTCGGGTTGTTCTGATTGACGTTAGTGTCGAATTCTGTGCATTTATTGGCATGGTGGCCAAAACGTTTGCATTTAAAACACTGAACTTTAGTATAATGGATTTGGAATCGAGGATTTGATGTGTTTTGAGATTTTTAATCCCACGTGGGAAATTGAATTGAGTTGAGTTGCTCGTTTAACAGCTCTTTGGAAATTCTCATGATCTTCAGATCGCAGAGTAAATTCCATTTGAGCATCATTAATGTCATCAATGAATGCACGACATGCAGCACGATTTCGTTCTTCTTCAGAAGAATTTGAGTAAGCCAGACGGCTGAGTCGATCAATTTCTTCTGAGTAAACTACGTAACTCTCGCCTTTCCTCTGTTTTCGCGATTGTAACTCATTGAAATACATTCGAGAAAGCTGTTTCTCATCAAATTTGTCAGCTAACATTTTTGAAATCTTTTTGTAATCTGATTTATCTTCATCAGAAATTTTACTCAAAATCAATCGGGCTTTTCCACGAAGACGTGTTAATAATTGGGAAGCTTTAGTCTGTTCTGTCCACCGGTTATGAGAAGCAGCAATTTCAAATTGAAGGTGGTAGTGAGACCAAAGTTCCGAACCGTCGTATGTGTCGGGTTTGATATGAGAGCTCTTGCTGTGATCAGGTAAATGAAGCAAAGCATTTGCATTAGCTGACGCATCAACATTAGCACTAGTGTGAGCATTAGAAATAAAAGGATTTTGGAAGTTATCTATGGAGATTCTTGGTGGAGGATAGGGTGGCACTTGGACCCATGGAACTGATTAAGTCATGTCTGGATGTACTCGAGGAGGTTGATCAGAATTGGAAGGGGCTGTGGTACTTTCCAGTACATTAGAGTACACAGGGTGACCTTGGAGTACGCTTGAAGATGCTGAAAACCTGGGAGGGGCATTTGGTGCTTCTAGATTCTCTGGAGGTTGTTGAAGATTCAGTGGAAATCCGGAGATGTTAAAAGTTGTTGAGAGCCTTGAAATTTGTTGTTGGAGATTCTGGGGAACTCCTGAATAGTCTGGAGCCACTGGATTGTCTGGGAGTCGTGGGTGGAGATTTTGAGGAATTTCTGAAGGGCTTGGAGCTATTGGATTCCTTGAATGTTGTTGTTGAAGGTTTTGAGAAACTTCTGGAAGATTTGGAGCAATTGGATTCCTTGAAGATCTGTGTTGGACGTTCTGAAGAATATCTGAAGGATTTGGAGGAGCTGGATTCCTTGGATGTTGTTGTTGGAGGTCCTGAGGAATTTGTGGAGGGCGTGGAGCAACTGGATACTCTGGCAATTCTTGTTGAGGGACTAGGGGAACTTCAAGAGTGTTTGATGCAAATGAGTTCCCTGGAAGATTCCTCAATAAATTACAAAGATCGTTCCGGGCAGCTCGACGCTTTTCGTCTCGGTCTTCACGCATTGACTCTCACAAGCTAGTGACGACCTCATTCAGTTGGCCTCGAAATTCATTCCGAAGACGATTTTCCATTTCTTCCAGTTGAAGCGGGACAGGATTCGGTTGTTGAAGTTCTTCATCTGACGGTAAATGAGGGCGAAAACCGGCAGCAAAGGGGCCGGGACGTTCCTCCGAGTGTCCTCGCCTTCTTCTCCCTCTCCCCGCCATAATACAAAAATAAAGTGACTCACCAGTTAACGGGATTTGTTATTTTCCATAGTCTCAATCAAGGTAAATTAATCCAGAATGTTCGATAGTAGGGAATCCAAATAAAGAGTTGATCACTTTTCCGACGGCAATGATGGAGGGTTTGGTAATTGTACACTTCAATGTCCACAATTTCTTCCTTTAAAATCCTTTCCGCACGTGGGTTTTTCTCATCCCACTTCTGACACTAATGTTGTAACCGGTGAAAAAGGGGATCGACACAATATTCAAATGGCTGGGGCGGTTTATTAATTAATTAAGTACAGAAGATGAGTCGACGAAGAGATCTCCAAAGAGAATGAATCAATCCAAGTTATTCCAAAAGACAATCGTTGTCAAGGGGGTTCCGTGTCATCTTCAAGATGATGGACAATTGAATTATGATTCGAAGGGGGACACGTAACAGTATAATATGAGGATCATATAGGGGTCATGTAAGGGTTACATGAGGGTTATATAGGCATTATATGGGGGTCATATGAGGATCATATGTTCCTCATATGACCCCCATATGACTTTTGGTCCTTATACTGACTCTTATGACCCTACATTTCATAGGAAATCCTATTGAAAATGTTATAGGATATCCTATAGGAAATCCTATAAGATATCCTGTAGGAAATCCAATAGGAAAAACCTGAGAGGGAATCCTATAAGAGATCCTCGAATGAGGAATCCTATCTGAAAAATCCTATAGGAAATGTTCGAATTCTTCATAGGATTTTTTTAATACGTAATGCAAAAAAAAGCACTAGATTTATGCCGATCTATGCGGAAAGTCTGCATTACTATGCCTGATTTACGCATAACTGTGATATCATATGCCACAATGGACACACCCTAAGAGAGCGGTTTTGACGATTGCGTAAAGTCCACATATAGTGTTTTCTGTTTGTATGAGCTGCCGAGAACCTACATTTGTCGTTGGATATCCATTTATATCGACTGAAAATTGAGACCCTTGCATTCGTAGTTAGTGTCGGAGTAAATTCCACCATTGTGGGTGTACAGTTCAGAAATACAACGAAAAGTATACTTTTTTCTATTTTATTACAGAAAAAGAACATCAAAAACAACTGGAACGCGAACGTAAGGAGCAGAGAAAGGCTGAAAGAGGTGAGTTACGTACGGAACAGGAGCAGCATGAAGAGACTGATCCAGTAGTAGAGAAAAAGGATGTGTCGCTAGAGCCACAGCAAGCCCCTGCCGCTGCTGCGATACATACTGAAGGAGTCGTGAGGCCTGCTCACAGTATGATTCATGACGTCTCACATTCAGAGCCGGTAATTCCGAAAACATGTTTACAATACTGGATGATATGTTTAGGCATGTCTAGAGTACTCATTCATGTCAATTGTTTTGATCGATAGCTGGATATATCAGAATAGCACTTTTTCTATATTACTAGAACACGGCGCGAGCTTCGCGCGGGCATTGTTTTCTATGGGTGCCAGAATAGTAAAACCTTACCGTTTCTTACTTTCATTAATAATGCAGAAAAAAATGAATGAATTCAACAAGGTTTTTCACTATGAGAATTTAATTGTTGAATAATTTGTTCGGAATCGTCGTAATTCTCTTCATCTCCCTGTTTGTTCCTCTTTTGCTTGTTACGTTCTTTTTTATGTTTAGAAATGTATTGTGTACTGTATACATATATACCATCCTATATATATTTTTTTACAGAACTATATTAATTTTTTTTATAATTAAAAATAGTATATTTCGTCATTAGGCCAAAAAAAATTTCTGGCGAATGAGTTTTTGCATCCTGAGCCGAAGGCGAGGGCTGCAATCATATGAACTAGAAAAATTTTTTTAGGCCGTATGTCGAATCATATTTTTTGTCATAACGACTGTAAGCAGCGATTTACGAACGCGTAGCGTGGAATAGAGGCTTCAAAAATCGTTACACTGAACTTTTCAAAAGTGGACTACCTGAACTCCCCCTGTAAAATGCAATTTGAGCGATGGATCTAGGCTATCCCGGTTTGAATTTTCGCAAAAATTGCGAGCCTGACATCATCTATCCTCTATAAGAAATAATTGACCCAATGTTGAACAGTTGATATTGTTTTATTGCAGGGTTACTCTGTAAGACGAGAGGTGTACCACAGAGAGAGTCGATCAGTTTACTTCACAGTTGCATTTGCAGGCATTGCGCTAATTGCAGTGGGTATGGTTGGCGTAGCAGTATTTAAAAGACGAAGTGCACGAAGCCCTCATAGTCAGGGTTTTATTGAAGTAGATCAAGCGGCAACACCAGAAGAACGACACGTAGCCAATATGCAGATAAATGGCTACGAGAATCCAACATATAAATATTTTGAAGTGAAGGAGTAACTTTATCACCCTTAAAATCAGAATAAGTATCTCCGATTCATTGTTTTCTCACATCGTAGATTGTTCGTTTTTTGTCAAATTAAATAAGTGAAAGAGATCTATATTATAATTGATGTCTATCGTTTGTATCACCAGGCTGTACATGAGTAGACAATATTTCAGTCAGCGTAGCGAAGTATTGAGTCATTCGTTTTCTTAGTTGAAGATATTTCTGATTGGAATCGAATAGCATTAGTGATCAATACTCCGTATATTGTGCGATGATCGCAGCGCAGCAATCTTGGGAATTGTTACCAACAATAAATTGACCGTCCCAACAAAGAAATCCAAAAAATTTTGACATCGTACTTCTAAATCCCTAGAATAATCGTCTTTAAAGTTTTTTTTCTTTGGAAATCAGTCTATATCGTGAGATATCCAAAATCTAATGTAAAGCAGACCGGTAATTGCTGCGCCGCGTTCACATGCAATCATACTCGTCAACTTGGCACCGAACGATCAGCTCATGAGGAAGAATAATGTTGAATTAGCTAGTTCCACTTCCGTACATACTCATTTATTTATTTTTCTTCTTTCGTTGCTTAACTCTGAAAGAATTGTATTTCAATGATGTTTCAGAGTTCAACGCAATAAACGGAGTGTTGAATTAAATGCTATCTGCAGGACATAAGTTCGGAGAGATGCTATCTGCGGTTAAAAACAGTGCCATGAAAATAATAATACAAAACTTATGGAAAATAAATATAGGATTCCAATCATCGAAAGTATTTGGATTAGTCAATCATGCTCTGATATTTTAAGCGGTAAAATTTAACTAGTAATAACTTGATAAATTGAGCAGTTTCGCTGCTTGGAAATAATTGGCAGCAATTCGAATTGTAGAGCTAAATAAATAGTGTTGCTACTGAAGCAAAAAACAGTTAATGAAATTGAAGACTAGCTTTTTGAATACAAACAAGCAAGCAAAAATATAGCATTAATTCCATCACAAGAAAAATACTCTTGGAATATCAGAACGTCAGTTGAATCAATTTGATTATTCAGTTTCCTTCGTACATTCAACTTTACTGTACCTCTCTACTTTTTTCCATTTTAATATAGTTTTTAGATTATACATCCTTTCTTTTCCTAGTGATTATTGAGTACTTAATGTCTATTTAGTTTCATGGATAATTGGATGTTTAAAAACACTGAGAAGCACTGACATATTCAGTTGAAGAAAAATGGAGTGAAAGCAAGAAATAGATTAATCTATCATTCGAATAAAAAAATAGTAATTAAGAGAGTAGTCTACTATACTTGTTTTTATAATTTTATTTTTCGAATATCGCGGAAAATCACTGTTGAGAAATAAACAATGGAAAATATTCGAGAGGCTCGTTCGATTTTACCGAACCTTCTTCTCACACATCGAATATGTGTGTATACAACGTCGTAATAAATCATGTCGGGACTGTCGAATAAAAGGAACAAGACTATTTTTCTTCAAAAATGGAGTTATTTAGATGGAGTATAAAGTTATACAGCGGTACAGTGGATTCGAAAAATAAAATACCTTTATGGCAATAAATGCCATCAAGAACAAGACAAAGCTGTTGGAGTTTTAATTTACATTTTTTTCTAATTCAATGAATTTTTTGAAATTAAAGAACAAACGCGTTCATAACAATAATTATCTTAGGATAAGATTAATAATGCATATGCATGTATGATGACGATGGTGATGAATAATATACTACACGTTTAACGCTTATATATTTGTATATGATCAAGAAAAGATAGAAGACACGCACTTTGGCTCCGTTAGCACGAAGGAGCACACACACGCATATGCATACATTATACACTTACAACATACCTCTAAATATACGAAATGAACATTTCATTTAAAGTTATTCCTGCTGAGATGGAATGGAAAAGCGTTGAAGTAAATTTGAAGAGTCCGTCGGCATTCATTTCCTTCCAAAAAAATGTGTAGGGGAGCTTTTAAGAGCTTGGTGCGGCAAAATTCGCTATAAATCAATACCTAACGTATAATATGTGCATCGAAATTAACTAAAGAATAATTCAAGTGAATGACATGTGTACTGATTGCCTACATTCCCAAAATGTCGCAGTGCTGTGAAATAACTCGAAGAAAATCATGAGTATAGGAAATGATTAATTCGTCTTACTCATCCTCCACGAGTTGGAAGTGAAAAAAATATTTGGCCCAATTAATTTTCGATTGAAAACCTGCATTATATAGTATTATTTTAGATACTTTGAAGGGATATAGTAATATACTACCGTGAGTGTACTATCAAGACGGTGATAAAGTGAATCAACAAAAAGATACCATCGTTACATTAAATTCTAATGATATATAATTATATAGACATAAACATATACATAGGATTACAGATCTGCGTATATATTTATATATCATTATGAAGGCAGATTTATTATTGTACCTATAGCATGTAGTGTTGTGTAAAAACACATTGTCGCGTATGCAACATGGAACTGACGCCGAGTCACAGGTTCATTTGTTTTGGTGATTTTTTTTGCTCGTTATGAAACTTGATTCGTTTTCATTGGGGATGAAAAGCGTCAAAGCATTCATTGCATATTCATAAATGTTTTTTCATCGCAATAGTTCTTTTGTCCGGTGATTGATTGACGTGAAATTCGATTTTTCAATGTTATTGCTTTAAAGCATATCAGTTCAGATACGATTAATTCCTTTGAAAACAGGCAAAAAATAACACCATTGGCCCTGATCTCTCAAATGTATGCGTATGTGCGTGTATCCTGCATCCTTAGATGTAACGATCCTGTGACCCGGTTCTGGGCCGCTCTAAGTAAATTTAAAAATTGATTTTTGTAAAGAGGTAATAATTCTATATATGGAAATAATCAACCTAGCTTAAAGTGAAGAAAAACTACAAAGCAGGTGAGGTGTGAGAATAACAAATTGAAAGATTAATAATAAACAGAAATATACGTCCTTCGGTAGGAGTCCCAGTTGTGAGGGGATTAAAATGAAAAAAGAAATGATATTATAATTACATGGTTCAACAAAATTCGTTCGGATTTTGTGCTAAAACCAAAAGGTAATCCTCTGGGGAGTATATTTTGGAGTTGGGAGAAAAGACAAAATGGAGAAAGGACAAAATAGCCAAAGGAAACGCAAGCCATGGAATTCAGCACGTGATACATCCATCGACTAGGGTAAGCTGCATCTGGATAATAGGGTCATTCATTTATCAATCAATTCATTAGAAGGCGTCCAAACGGTGCATTGAAGTTGGTGTTCAGTGCAAAAGGAAATTACGAGTCTGTAAGTGACATACTTTTTCAAGTTCATATCCGCTCTTTCCAATCAGTTCCATATCAAGTTTATTCGGCGAACGATCGAAGCAATTGAGCAGGAATCGGACATAGGACCTTTTGCACATAAACCGACAATCGATTAGTACTAACCCGACCCACCCGGTCGCTAGAAAGATATCAGATACATCAAATTAAGTGAATACACTGTATTTTGAAGGAATTTGGTAATGAATCTAAAATATACGGATGGTTGCCACCATTCAAATAAACACGTTAAAAATTATCCGGAGGACTGGGTTACACTTTTGGGCCCAGATGAGACGAATTTTATTGAACCGTGTCATGGGTTGCACCTGTATTTACGAAAAAACAGAACTTATTCCTTTTTTTGTGATCTATCGGACATCTACTAAAGTTCTTCCTCAATTTAATGTCACAACCAAAAAACGAGAACAAGGCGACTATTTTTTCGTTGTTATGGCATCCTTTACCCTTGTAGTGAACAGAGTTAATAAAGCTAACCAATTGTGTATTAGACGACGTTTTTCTTCGCACATTCATATACTCATAATTTAAGTCTGTCAAAATCGTATTCTTTGTGACTGTACAATAACAACATGAATTCGAAGAAAATGAGAAAAAATCGAGACATTCAAAGAGGGAATGAAAATCACTATATCATGCTGGCAATTGACCAATTTGTAAGAGAACGTGAGGAATTAAGAATGCGTGGAAGCTTTCACTGAATAACAGCAGTATATACCGTATATACCGTTTTTTGTCGGTACCTGAAAAATTATTTCAATATTTCCACATCCATATGAAAATAATTCGCTCAATCGATTTCTATAGAGCAAAAGTTTGTAAAAAAAAGATTGACATAAGTATCTGATTTCGTTTCACAATTCGAATAGAATCGCTATTCTTGAAAACGTAAATCTTTCGATGAACAATCCGTTTATAATCATTCTGCCAAATCGAGAAAGTGAACGTTTCTCATAGTAACAATTTGTGTCCGCTCTCGTTTGGTTTGTCTGGCGATTGCTCGATATTATAAGAGACTTGGAGATAATGTGGACGAATTTTTCTACCAGGGCAGAAGGGGATAGGAAGAACCGGAATACGAACAAATCTTTGAATCCTCTTTACCCAATAGATTGAAAAATGTAAACGTGTGGGTGAAACTGTTATCTCCACAAGAATGAAATTAAACATCGGATGGACAATTGAGGAATAGTCGTGGAAAATACAAGTTCAGAACAGGCTAAAAGCTTCATATGATGTTGGTGCCCTGTCCTTTCACCTCAAAAAGACTCACTTTATGCGTGGCCTTTAGACCTGTCAGCTAGCTCGTATTTTTCAACATTCTTGAAAATTTTGTAACCAGTTTTCAAGTTAGCTTGATCTCGGGTTGACAAATATTCATTTCGAATATATTTCTCATCTTTTTATATATTTGGTGAGGAGAATTAATGGAGCAAAGATTTATATCCGTATCGTTTTTTACCTCTCGCTGCTTACCCCTTTCCTTTCATTCTCGAAAGAGGACGACAAATACAATAATACGAATCATGGATAAAAGAATAATTATGTTTGTGGATACATGTAATTCTACTTACCAATAAATAAATGATGGAATACCCATATCGGCTTCTCTTCAATTTTTCTCAACAAAGAGAAGAAGCAATTAAAGTATTTCATATCAAATCGATCAATCCCTGATCCTCAGCCTTCCGAAAGTCGACGGAGAGATTTCTTCATGCGATGGAGGGATTTGCAATTTATCATTTTTTTTAGCTGTGTAAGCATGCAAATAGATTTTTGCTTATTAATAATCTGTAAACTGGGGAGGTTTTCGCATACATTTCAAGTCGATAAAATCTTCTATTGAATCCACTTTTTTTGACCCGCTGAATCCAAATATCGAGGTCTTCCGAGTCGAATTCCGACTAGTTTTTTTGTCATTAACCAAAGAACTAGCCACCACTAGGTCTACACTCAACTGCCGAGTCTTCTGCGGAAGTCACAGAATCGCAAAGGTTCCATCGCGGAGTTACTATGCGTAGAGTCTTGAATTTTGGTAGAAGAAACCGTGCTTCCAGTTCCGTAGCCGAAGGGACCCACCGACGCTCTCGTAGTGTAGGTGACCTGGTGGCGGATAATCCACGGCAACAGTAGGGCCTGCAGGGGTAAGATGGGCAGCAAGATGGGAGTGGTGTACATCAGCGACCGACACCGACACCGCCGTCTCAGCAGCATCAGCAAGATCGTGAAGACCTTAATCAGCCAGTCTCACCTGGAGCAGCTGGCATATTCCAAAGGGAGGAGTTTAGCACATCTATGTCGACTCCGATCTCAGTACCGGGAGGGGGGGTCACTTCTCCTAGGTAACTTCACTCCACTGCTGCGAGGGCAGGAGGTGACGCCAGAACCGGATGTCTCGGGTATTCCAAATATTGACTAGTGGCTGAGATGTTAAAAATGTTGGACAATGTGCAAGAGAAATTTAAGGAGGAAGCTCAGGAGCGCAAACGGTTGGAGAACGAGCTACAGAAGGCTTGGACGGAGGTGTATCGCAATCGTGGTGCTACTGGGATAAATAATTGGGTAAATAATCCACCTAATAATAATCTCAACACTAGTAATGATCATGTCCAGAGAGGGCTTATAGACCTGAAGGGTGCTCTACACTTGATGCATTCATCTAATGGCGAGAGTATCGATGAATTAATACCTTTTTTGAGATCGTGTGAGGGTACAAAGGACTTATTACAGTCTGAGCTTCATTCTACACTTCTCAAAACTATTCTGAAAAATAAATTGACTGGCAAAGCATTTGTACAACTGAAGCATAAAATAATAGAGTTTTGAAGAATTAAAACTGGAGTTAGAGGCATTATTCAGTAAAACGAAATTACTCGTGGGATCGTATACAGAGTTCAATAACCTGCAACAACGGAATGATGAAAGCATCAGCTAAATCGCAGCCAAAGCTGAACGAGTAACTCTTGATTTAATCGAGGGAATACAAAACCTCTTAACTAACGATTTGGGCGAAAAAGAAGAATGGTGTCAGAAAAGCCCTTTTGACTTTGGCTAAGGCTAATTTTGAGCAAGGGTTTGCCTGGTCAGATTCAAATTTTGGTCAGAGCAAATAACTATAAGACATTGCCTGAAGCGTGTCTAGGAGCAGTTGAGTCAGAGGAAACTATGCCAGGGTTTCGTGGAGCCTAAGGAAAATTCTGGAGGAAACTCTGGAGGAGGATTTGCAGTCGGTTCCAGGCATTCTCAAGGGGGAAATCGTCATTGAGGAGAACGACAATTCCTGGAGGCGGGTTATTTTGCTTGCGACCAGGCAGGACATCAGACGAAGGATTGCAAGACGCAGAAGAAAACGAGTTTACCTATTCCAGAGCGACGCAGTATCAACGCATATGGGGTGGTGTGCAAATTTTGTCACATTCCAGGGCATGACATAACGTCGTACCCTGTAATTGAAGAAACAATGTGGAATTTCCGAAAATGCGGAGTTGCAGGTGAAAGAGAAAAATGATGGTGCAAAGCAGGTCAACAAAAGGGCTAACAGTATCGCAAAAAAGAATAACAAAAATAAAGGCTCATCGAATGGAGAACCTACATTGCCAATGGGGGCATTCCAACTGGCGATGATGCAAATTAATGAAATTAAGAATAACGACGGTCAGCAAAACCCAAGGATTTCGACTGATTCCACTCTCAGAAGACGTAGGATCACATCTGCAGAGCCTTCCAAGACTAAGAATGATCTAATTTTGTCGGATGATGAGCTTAAACACCCGACAATGTTCCTGGCAGACTCTGGGGCTGCTATATCAGTAATAAAAACTGGAGAATTGAAGGAAGGTTTCTAGGTCTAGTTCGTGAGAAGGATACTACGTAAAATTTCCAATCGAGATGTTTGAACACTGGGGAAAGTGGAGATTTATTTGAAGATTGGCAAAGAAGAATTGGGACATGTATTTCACGTTATTCCTGATGATTTCCCATCCGAACAACCAATCTTAATAAAGACTAGAAGAGACACTTTAGCCTGGGCTACGACACTGAGCACAAAAATGGAATTGTGCATAAAAAACAATTGCAGCCGGGCGTGTTTTTGGGTGAATGGCTCACGAAGCCACGTGACGGTCGTGCAATCGTATGTATTATGAACACCACTGAAAACGACGTATTCTTGAACGTGCCGGTTGTGAAACTCGAGGTGTTGCCCCGATGCAGTAATGCAGATACATATGGCAAGGAGAGAAAGAGTGAAACAGGGGAGAATAAAACTTCTTTACGAAAATCTGAGGATTCCTCACCTCAATCGTGAAGAGAAGGAAAGTCTTCTAGAGATGTTAGAGGAGTTCAACAACATTGTGCCGCTTCCAGGGGATCCTATTGTTCCTGGGGCAGCACCTGTGAATATTCGGCCACATCGATTACCACATTCTCAGAAGGAAGAGGTGGATCGTCAGGTACAGGAGATACTGAAAAATGTGGTGATTCGACCAAGTAACAGCGAATGGAATGCCCCATTACTCGTGGTTCCAAAAAAAAACCTGATGCATCAGGGAAAGTCAAGTACGGGTTGTGGTTGACTTTCGAAAATTGAATGATGTCACTATCGGTGACTCATACCCACTGCCGAATATTTGTGATATTCTGGATTAGTTGGGGAACGCAAAGTATTTCACCACACTGAAACCTCAGGATTTCATCAAATTCCAGTGAAGGAGGAGGACAAGTGCAAAACAGCTTTTGTCATTACGCCCGATAAACCGCGATTCTAACCTCGCTTCGCTCGGTTAGATCGCGGTTTTCGGGCCCAACGACATAAAATAGCGTATATCACACGGCGATAAAAGCCTTCGGCTCGGATTATAAAGCCACATTCGCCAGATAATACTTTTATCGCCTAATGATGTAATATACTATTTCAATACCATTTGGGTGCTATGAATTCAACTGGTTGCCCTTCGGTGTAAAAGGAGGACCTGCAACATTCCAGAGACTGATTAACTCCGTCTTGGCTGGGATTCAAGGAATCAGATGCTTGTATATCTCGATGTTATTGTGGATTTTGGAGCAAGTCTGGAGGAGCACAACGACCGTCTACGAGAGGTGTTGGAACGGTTGAAAAAGGCTAACTTAAGGTTGCAACCCAATAAGTGTAATTTTTTAAGGAAGGAAGTCGTCTACTTGGGTCATGTAATCACCAAGGCGGGGTCAAGGCTGATCCTACCAAAATAGAAACAGTGAAGAATTTTCCCGTGCCGCAAACGACGAAGGAAGTGATTATGTCTTTCCTTGGATTGGCGGGCTATTACAGAAACTTTATTCAAGATTTTTCAAAAATCGCCAAGCCTCTCACAGACCTACTAAAAAAGGGAATAACTTGGACATGGGGAGAGAGAACGTATTGCTTTCGAGAGTTTGAAAGAAGAACTTATTACAGCCCCAGTATTGCAGTATCTTGATTTCAAAAAACCATTGTTGCTAACAACGGACGCATCGAACAAAGCACTTGGAGCTGTTCTGTCGCAGGGATAAATCGGGAGCGACTTTCCAATCGCTTACGCAAGCAGAACGATGAATAAAGCTGAAATTAATTATTCCACAACTGAGAAGGAACTATTGCTTATCGTGTGGGCGGTGAAACATTTTAGAGCCTACTTATACGGCAGAAAACTCGTCATCGTAACGGATCATCGACCCCTGAAGTGGATTTTCAATGTCAGGGACCCGGAATCGCGTCTCATGCATTGGAGAATTGAATTAGAAGGGTACGAGTATGAAGTTGTACACAAACCTGGGAAGTTGAACACAAATACTGATGCTTTAAGTCAAATCCATGTCATAACCCAAGCGCAGCAGGAAAGGATGGAAGCCGAAGGTGATAATATTAAAACCGAGAGCTTTGAGTCATCTGAAGAGAAAATCACTCAGGAATCAGGGGACATTCCTACAATAATGAGAGGATACCACGATACACCTTTTGGAGGACATCCTGGCATGCAACGAATGCACGAAAAAATAAAGTTAAAATACAAGCGGAAAGGCATGAAAAACGACATAGAGAAATGTTGCAACCTGCAGGAAATCCCAGCTGAACAAATTGGGGAAAACAACGAAAGTGTCCATGCAGATTGGAGAGGCTCCAGAAACAGCATTTGAACAGTGTGCGATGGACATATTGTTGGTCCATTACCGGTAACAGACGACGGGAATAAATACATCTTGACATTCCAGGATGCTTTGATAAAATTTTGCAAAACTATCCCGATTCCTGATCAAGAGGCAAATACTCCGGCGAAAGCATTTGCTGAAAGAATTATTTGCGAACATGGAACGCCTTCAGAACTGCTGACAGATCAGGGTAAAAATTTCACAAGCGAAATTTTTAAAGATGTCCGTCGACTCCTAACAATAAAGAAAATCCAAACAACGGCGTATCATCCTCCAACAAATGGTGTTCTTGAGAGGTCTCATCGCACGCTAGCAGAGTATCTACGAAGCTTCATTGGTGAGGATTAATGCGATTGGGATTGATGGTTGTCTTACGCGGCGTTTTCATACAATACACCCCCGCATA